CACCTACTGGCCATGTGACCAGAGACAGTGATTATACTTCTCTCTAAAACAATGGGTCTAGGAATTACGCCTGCTCCTTTCCATTTTGGTGGAGGTCTGATGAGCTATTGCATAGACGGGCTTGGCACAGGGATGAGTGTGGAGCTTGGCGAAGTGAGGCACTTTAATTCAACCACCCACACTGACTGAGGGGCCGTAATGATGTGACTGATGAGCTGGGGACCTGGAAGGAGACTGGGACAAGGACTGCCTTGTGTGAGGTAGCTGCTTCCACAGCACAGACGGAATGGCATCGAAGGCCGGTTTCCGACCCCACTCCCTCCGCTCCTGTGGGTGGCCTGTGTCTGACGGTTTCCAGAGGTAGAGACCAGATAAGGACTGCAGGCTGTGGCCCCTGACAGCCCTGCGAGGGGCCTTGCAGAGTGCTCTGGGGGCCAGACAGACATCAGCCTAGGGGCGGAGCTATTTCCTGGTGAGGTACTTTGAGAGAGACCCGAGGAGACCTCCCAGCTGGGACCCCTGCCCCTTCTCCTTTTCTCCCCTTTTTCTGCAGGCCGGGTCATCAGAGCTTGCTCTGCAGCACCACAGTCTAGGAGGCAGGGTGTCCCTTGGCTGTGGGTCTTCGGCCCTGTGCTGCTGGGCCCCGCCGCGCATACCCTCAGTGGCCGCAATTCATGCCAGGCACTGGGCTGGATGGGCCCAAGAAATCCAGGGACAGTGGGGCTCACAGACACTGCCCTTCCCTTGCTGACACTGTCTCCATTTAGATGGAGATAATGTAAAAAGTGCTGACTCCGGGTCACCTTGTCATTTAATTTTGGCAACTACCTCAGTGTGACCCCTAGTCCCATGGTACAAATGAGAATGTGGAGGGGTTAAGTAGGGTCACCACTGAACTCAGGCCTGCTTGCTGGACTCTGGTCTCTCTTGAGGTGACTTCATTCCTCAGCAGCCCAAAGCTCACCCCCAATGCCACATCCCCCAGTGAGCAAGAGCTGAGGCCGAATTTTGTCCAAGTGACTGCTCCGGGAAGAAGGCGAGAAGGTGGCACTGCCCACAAAGGTCGTTACTGTCCTCACTCCTCGGCCTGGGACTGTGGGGTCCTACCCGGACACTCTGCAGAAAGAGATGCCATTGTCTCTCAGGGAGGTATGGAGGTGGCAGGGCTGGGAGGTGCCAGAGTTCACGCATTTGTCCCCAGGTACTCTGGAAGCACATGTATCCCTGCCCTGAGGGAGGCCCTACAGGTCACCTGTAGGCAACCCTCTCCTGGGTGCTTATCTGTATTTCCTTTGCTTCCTGAGACACACACTCTTTTCCCCAGAAAAACTGGCTGAGTTCAAATCCTCCCTCTGCCACTGCAGAGACGAGCCTGTGAAATGATCTTGTATAACCTGCAGGTCTCCATGTCCTTATCTATGAAACCCTGGCGACAGCCCTATCTATCTAAGGCAGGTTCTGAGCTGCATCCCCGAACACTCTGATTTCAGCAAGTCCAATGTAGGTGGTCCCTTGCACCACATTTTGAAAATCACTGCCCTAAAAGGTGTGTCCTGACGATACAGACTCACAGGCTTCCTCAGTGTGGGGTGGGGGTGAGGGCACACGTACTGGTTTATACCCTCTGGTTTTAGCATGTTAGTACTCAACATTGCACTCCTATCAATGACCAATTACATGGGCAAGTTCCGGTTCCTCAGTTTCCTCACATGTAAGTGGAGAGTCGGGAGAATTAAGTGACTAAGTTCCTGGCATACTTGGAAGCGTGCCTTGCCCATAGTAACAGTTCAGGAAATCCGAGCTGCTCTTAGTGTGTCCACAGCCCAATCACTGAACACCCCATAGGAGAAAACACTTTTGATTGAGTTTCTCTTCATTTTTGAGATGCACTAACTCCCCTAGGGCGAGAAGTGACTGTAAAGGGCCTTCCAATGGGCTTCTGGGGAGGGGGTTGTGTTGCTTTTTGGGTGCTGGTGACCCAGGTGTGTTTGTTCATGTGTGATCCTGTTGTTCACTTGGGATCTGTGCATGGTCTCCTAGGTCTGCACGGCTCTGTGAAGCACTCGGCAGGCATCGTTATCGGCATTTTAAAACAAGAAACAGAGGCTAGGGCAATCCCTGCGATTTGGTCAAAGCAGTAGGGCATGGGTCTGGGATAGCGTCGCAGTCTGATCCTTCATTCCGCAGAGTATCCGCCTCTCCCAGACAGCGAGGCGAGAACAGTACCTGGCTGCAGGTAAAGTTCGGTAAAAGGGTCTGAGTCCTTGCACAAGCGACCGTTCCTCCGGCGCTCTCACAGACTGCAGGATGGCGACACGCTCACTCCGCCTCACACTCACAATGCCAGCCCCACGCGTGGGCACTCGGGAGCTAGACCCG